GTCTCCTGAGACAAGGGAAAGAAAAACAAAAATAAACTATTGGGACTACATCAAAACTAAAACTTTCTGCAGAATACAGGAAACAATGAACAAAACAAAACAAAACAAAACAAAATCCAACCTTCTGAATGGGAGAAAGTATTTGCAAATGATATATCTGATAAAGGTTTAGTATCCAAAATATATAAAGAACCTATACAAGTCAATGCCAAAAAACCCCAAATAATCAAGTTAAAGAATAGGAAGAAAATAGGAATGGATATTTCTGCAAAGAGGATGGCCAACAGACATAAGGGAAGATCCTCAACATCAGTAGTCACCATAGAAATGAAAATCAAAATCACAATGAAATATCATCTCACATCAGTCCAAATGGCTAAAATCAAAGAAACAGCAAACGTTGATGAGGATGTGAAGAAAAAGAAACACTTGTCCGTGGTTGGTGGGAATGCAAAGTAGTGTAGCCACTGTGGAAAACAGTATGGAGGTTCCTCAAAAAGTTAAAAATAGAATTACTCTATGACCCAGTAATTCCACTACCCGTGTATTTGCTCAAAGACAACAAAAATACTAATGTGAAAAGATGTATCCACCTCTATATTTATTGCAACATTATTTACAATAGCCAAGATATGGAAGCAGCCCAGTGTCCATTGATGGATGGATGTATGCATAAAGAAGATGTGGAACACACACACACACACACACACACACACACACACACATATATGATGGAATATCATTCCATTGTAAAATGGAGTGAGATATTGCCTTTTGTAACAACACAAATGGACCTAGAGAATATAATGCTAAGTAAAATAAGTCATTCAGAGAAAGACAAATACCATATGATTTCACTCCTATGTGAAATTTAAGAAAACAAATGATCTAAGAATAAAAAAGGACACACAAAAAATCAGATTCTTAACCACAGAGAACAAATTAGCGGTCACCTGAGGGAAGGCGTGGGGGGAATGGGTAAAATAGGTGATGGGGATTAAGGAGCACACTTGTCATGATGAGCACTAAGTGATGTATAGAATTATTGAATCACTAGATTGTATACCGGAAATTAATATGACATTGTACATCAATTATAGTAGAATTAAGAAAACAAATCAATAAATATTTTTTAAAAATAGAAATATAGAAAGTATGTTGTCAGAGTATAACAGAATTAGATTAGAAGTTAGTACAGAAAGGTAACTGAAAAATCCCCAAATACTTGGAAATTGACACACTTTTAAATAACACATGGGTCAGAGAAGAAGTCTCAAGAGACATGCAAAAATTAAATATTTGAACTATATGGAAATACAGTGGCCAATAGAATCCAACAATATATAAAAAGAATTATATATAGTGGCCAAATGGGATTTATTTTAGGCATGTGAGGCTCGTTCAACATTCCAAAAATCAGCCAGTGTAATCCACTACAACAGGGCAAAGGGTAAAAATCATATGTGCACAGCAAAGGAAATCAACAACCGAGAGGACAACCTACTGAGTGAGAGAAAATATTTACAAATCATATGTTTATTAAGGAGCTGATATTCAAAATATATCAAAACTCATACAACTCAATAGCAAAAAAACCCCAAAAAACCCAAAACGAACAATCCAATTAGAATGTGAGCAGAAAATCTGAATAGGCTTTTTTCCAAAGAAAAAAGACATACAGATGGCCAACAGGCACATGAAAAGATGCTCACCTTACACCAGTCAGAATGGCTAAAATCAAAAAGATAAGAAACAACAAGTGTTGGCAAGGATGTGGTGAAGAAGAAAGTCTTGTGCACTGCTGGTGGGAATATAAATTGGTATAGCCACTGTGGAAAACAGTATGAAGGTTACTCAAAAAATTAAAAATAGAAATACCATATGATGCAGTAATTCCACTGCTGAGTATTCACCCACTCCCAGGAAAACACTAATCCAAAAAGATATATTCACCCCTATGTTTATTGCAGCATTATTTACAACAGCCAAGATATGGAAGCAGCCCAAGTGTCCACAGATAGATTAATGGATAAAGAAGATATGGTGTATATACACTGGGATATTACTCAACCACAAAAAAGAAGGAAATGTCTCCATTTGCAATGACATGGATGGACCTCAAGGGCATTATGCTAAGTGAAATAAGACAGAGAAAGACAAAAACTGTATGATATACTTTTATATGGAATCTAAAAAATGCTGAGCTCATAGAAACAGAGTAGAATGGTGATTGCAGGGGGTGGGCAAAATGGGGACCTGGTGGTCAAAGGGTACAAACTTCCAGTAATAAGATGAATAAATTCTGGGAATCGAAGGTATAGCATGATGAGTAGAGTTAACAACACAGTATTAAATACTTGAAAGTTGATAAGAGAGTAGATCTTGAATAATCTTACAAAAAAGAAGTGGTAATTATGTGAGGTGATAAAGGTGTTAAAAATGCTACTATTGTAATCACGTCACAACATATAAGTGTATAGTATAAATAGTGTGCACCTAAGCTCACACAATGTTATATATCACTTAAATCTCAGTAAAGCTGAACAAAAAGAAAGAAAGTAGCACTCATTACAAACAAAGAAAACAAACCAGTCCAAAGTTTATCAACAGTAGAACGGAGAAATATCGTACAAGATAAAAAATGAATAAACTATACATACAGTACATGAATAAATCATATAAAGTTGACTCCTCCCAAAAGCAATATGTACAATGTATAGAAAACATGATTCAATTTATATAAAGTAGAAAAATAAACACAAAACCAAAACCCACTACACTGCATTGCTTAGGAATCATGTAGCAAGCTAAAAAAAAAAAAAAAAAAAAAATTAGAGCAGTTATTACCACAAAATTCAGAATAATACTTTTAGAGGGAACAAAATAATTATATCCATACAAGTACTTCTAAGGTGGAGGGAGAAATTATATTCATGCATGGGGCACATATGGGGACCTTCTGTACTATTGTTAGTGTTTTACCTCTTGATAGTGGTTAGAGGGCTAATTATTATTATTAAACTGTATACTACACTTTTATGGTTTTTTTCTTTCTGATAGAATTCACAGTTAAAATGGTAAGAAAACCCCCTCAGAATAAACCCCTGAAATTTCAAGGTTTTTTTTTTTAACCAAACTGTACGAATAAGTTATCCTGTACCCCACCCCTGAGGGGCACCCCACTGCTGGTCCTCTGTCTCTTAAGTGTGAGTGTCGGGCACAAAGTAAGCCTCGTAGAGGAAGTTAATGAGAGACGGGGATGGCTTGAAGTTCAGATATGTAATAAAATACAGGAAAGCATTCAAAGTCAGAGATGGTCCAGGGAGAGCATGAAGAGTAAAGGGTGGAGTTATGATTTGAGCATCTGTCAGTCACATTACATATTGGCTGATAAAAACCCAAACAATTTACATTTTGTCAGAGCTGTTTTGCCGATGACGTATCAAAACTGGAGCATTATGAGAGTGCCCTCGAACGACTCAGGTGAAAAAATCCTGATTTGGTCAAGGTGGACATCTTAGAGGCAGCGATACCTGACTTGAGACAGAAAGCATAAGAAGATGAAGAAAGGGAATGAGTCCTGGAGCAGCAGGTGTGTACAGGGGACAGCAGGGCTCTGGCGCTGAGGCAGGGTGTGTGGAGTGCTCGGGCCAAAGACAGACAGGGACAGAGTATCCGGGCTTTGTGTGTCATTGTCAAGAGTCTTAAGAGTCTGCTGTTGGTGACTGAGAGCCACAGAACGGTTTTACGGAAACGACATGGTCATGAATAAACGTGAAATTTTAAAAAGGTAAAGTATTATGTATGCATGGGCTAAGTAATGTTAAAATGTACCTATTTTACCTTTAAAAGATGAGAAATTAGGTAACAGTCATGCTGAAAGTGTTTAATTACAATTGGTTCATTTTATTCCCTCTGAAGTCACTTGCCAAATAAAATGATTAATTGATACATTGCCATTCTGATTTATCTATCAGTCCATCTCTTGTGAATTTGACTACCAAGAGGCATGTAACATACTGTTCAAAAAACAGATCTTGACTCATTAAGACACAGTCTCATATGAAACTAAAACTTCTCATTTTATGTTTCTCTTCAACAGGTTTTAATTGTAACGGAAGACAGAACCTACATCTTGAAAGAGATAAATTTGTAACAAATGAAATTAAGGACGTATAGATCTTCCTTGAATTACGATGGACTATAAATTGAAAATGTGGAAAATGCATTTAATGCGTTTAACCTACCAAACATCATAGCTTAGCCGAGCTTACCTTAAATGTGCTCCAAACACTCACATTAGCCTACAGTTGGGCAAAATCATCTAACACCGGGGCTGTTTTATAATAAGGTGTTAAATACCTCATGTAAATCACTGAATACTGGACTGAAAATGAAAAAACAATGGTTGTACGGGTTCAGAATAGTTTAAGAGCACTAGTTGTTTACTCTTGTGATCACTGCCGGCACCCAGCATTGCGTGAAGGTCTCATACCACCTCAGTAGTCCACTAGTCCGGGAAAAGATCCAAGATCAAAGTACAATTTCTATTGAATGTGTATCACTTTCGCACTATAGTGAAGTAGAAAAACTGTAAGTCAAACTACATAAGTTAAAGACCATCTGTATTTATCCACAGTACTGCCCCTTCAGGAAATTCACTAATCTCCAAGTGGTAAAGGATTCAGTAAGGGACTGGGCAGATTTCTGAAGGATGATCTCAAGGCATGCTCAGGAATATCTTTAAAGCACTTTAAAGGTTAGCGTCTTTATGAACAATGTGGTTCACAGAAAGTAGGGAAAATGCTCAATATAAATTGAGGAGGAAGATTTATAATTGGGGAGACTGAGCACTGGCTCCAAACCACTACAGTGGCTAAAGGTAATGGATAATTAAGGCATGTTTAGTTAGTTCTGGAATGCTTAAAATTATTCAAAGCCCTTAAAAAGGACCCATAGCATATTATTTTCTCTGTGAAAACACTAATGTTTCCACCTACCAGTGAAGGTTCATTTGCATTCAATAGCAGCTCATCAGGATCTGCATTTTCTGGATCATATATCCACACAACAATAATCTACAAAATAAAAAGTGTTTGCATTTCTTTACATTTTGGACAAATATCATCTTTATGACAATAAAAATGTTTTTATTTATTTAACCAATTTTGATTGAATTTTCATTAAAAAATTCAAAGGTGGTATGTGTTGCTTTTAACAAGTGAAACAAACCAAAGACCTCTGAAGGAAGAGTTAATTTCCCTCTACACTCCTGGGGCAACCAATGTTAAAGCTTTGTACGTATGTTTCTATCTCTTTCTCTATAATCACAATTCAACACTTGCTTTTGTCATTTGATACATCACTTGATCTATATCATTATCATTTCAATAGATGTACATCTCATTTTTTCTGTCTTGTTGATTTTTTCCTTGAACAATTTATTCACATACTTAAAAACAAATTAAATTCAAAATAAAGTGAAAATGGTCTCTCCCAGCCCTGTACTCCATCACTCAGTTCTCATAAGCCCACTGTACCCTCAAGTATCTACAATTATTTGTTTATATTTCTGTAAAATTTCTGTGTATAACTAAGATGTTATTTTTTCTTTTTATATAAATGCAAGTATCCTAAACACACTTTTTCAAACATATTCATTTAAAGCTATATCTTAGAGATCTTTACATATTTTCATTAACTTTTCCACTAATATTATTCCAAATTATGGAGGAATCATAATTTACCTAACTAGTAACCTACTAATAAACATTTGTTCTCAATCCTTTGCCATTATAATCATTGCTATAATGAGCAATTTTGTGCATATTATTATTTTGTACTTTGGAGTATAACTAAAAGTGCAATTGTTGAGTCATACAGTATATGCATTTGTAATTTTCACAGATACTGCAATGTATGGGATTTCTTCTTTCCTCATTATGTGTTGTCACACATTTGGAATTTGCCAGTCTGGTGGGTGAAAAAAGGTACTGTGATACAATTTTAACCTCTTTTTTATTATAAAAAGTTTGAGCATCTTTCCATATGTTCAAGGTCCACTTGTACCTCCTGTCCTGTGAACTATCTGTTCATTTCCTTTGCCTATTTTCCATTTTCTACTGGGTTGTTAGTCTTTTATTTATTCATTTGTAGAAGTTCTTTATGTTAATAACTTTGACATCTATATGTTCTATATCCTGCTCTGTGTTTTGGTTATATGGATACACACACACACACACACACACACACACACACACACACACACACCTATATACACATACATGGAAATTTTATTGCCTATATAACTGTATGATATTCCTATTTATCCTCTTTCATCTGTTTGCCTTAATTCTATATTGTCCTTCTATATGGCTGCCCTTCCTTCTTTCCTTCCTTCCTTGCTTTTTATAGCAGGGCTTTATTTATCCTTTATATTCCCTTCACCTATTAAGCCTCTCTCAACCTATAAAACTTGATTTAAACATCTAGTATGCACTCTCCCCTATTTTTCTCCACACGATGTAAGGGTCTACAGACATGTACATAAATACATATTTACATGTATTTTTAAAAAGAGGCATTTTAAGAGTTTTAAAAACAAAATGGGATCACATTATACACACCCCCATATTCTTTTTCTCACGCAAGTGTACCCCATTGAAATTCCCCAGTGTCAATTCTCTTGAGGCCTGAATAATGTTCTACAATGTGGTTAGACTGTTATTTATAGATCAATTTTTCTAACGGAGCTTTACTGTGGCTCCAGTTTTATTTTGTTTTGTTTTACCACTAATACAATGCTGCAAAATGTAGAACCTTTTTCATATAGCTTTCCGTACTAGAGGTCTTACTTCTGTGGAGTAGATTCCCAGAAGTAAGCTGCTGATCCAAAGTAAGATCCAAAGCATCTTACTAGGTGCTTCCCAATTACTCTCTCTACACATTTTACACCAACAAAGTTTGGGTTGTGCCCTGTGGCCCAGTTTCCCTCTCACAGTTTTTTCTCTTGTTTGTTTGACAACCATGACATTTCATGTTAATTTAACTTGGATTTTCCTGAGATTATGTGAGTTTCAGCATTCACACAAGTTTGCTAGATTTGCTCTTGTGTACGTTGCCCTTTTACATGTTTTATTGCCACTTAACCATTTTCTTAACCTTTGTAAGAGTTTTGTTTGGACTTCAGATGCACATATACAGAATCAGAATAATCAGTCCTTGGCTCATAACACACTATTATTACTGGTATGACCACCTTTTATGTAATTATTTGAATTTTAAAATAGTAAAATAAAAACCAAGAACCCACCACCAAACTCAAGAACAAGAAACTTACAAATATCTTTCATTTATCTACATATTGTTCCTTTTCTGGTTCTTTGTTTCTGCCCAGAGGTACTCACTTCCTGAACTGTTTATTTTTTTTAATTTTAAACATTAATATAACATTTAGTTTTTGGCTATTTTGAACTTAGTCATCCCACACATAGTTCCCTAGGACCTGCTTTTTTTTTTCTTTCAATGTTGTGTAACTAGGATTTATTTGTGTTATTGCCCTGAGCTCATTCATTTTTACTGCTATTTAAAATTCCATTGTGTGAATGTACCACAACTCTTCCATTCTCTTGCTGATGGCCATTTGGCTTCTTTCTGTTTGGGAGGGATGGATTTTATGAGCATTTTCTGCTATGAGCATTTTTGAAAACGTCTCTTGATGGTTGAAAAAACTCCTGGGTATATACTTAGGAGTGGACATGCTGTGTTGCAGAATATGTGTAAGATAATGCAGAATGATTTCACAAAATGGTCGCACCAGTTTACACCTCGACCATCTCTTTGAATACTTAGGGATATTAGGTGGTTAGTGTCATCTATGTTGTAAAATGTTTTCATAATTATTTGTTGTCTGAACTATGCTTATGGTACTTTTGTGATATTAAAGTTTTTATTTTCACATTTTCAATTATGACTGTCTTTAATTTATAGATTCTGGTTTCCAGTCTTGGATAAGATTTCCCTTCAGTTTATATGGTACAGCTTCAAGTTCTCCCCAGATCTGGTTTTACATTAAACTCTTTCTTGTATGCCAACTGGAATTTATTTTTTATATGGTGTAAGAGAGGTTTACACTTTCATTTTCTTCCAGGAGTATAACATATTGTACCATATTACTACACATAACTGGTGAAATATTTTTTCAAAAAGAGACAAAAAACAACAACAACAACAACAACCAACTACCCAGACTTTTAAATACAGGGAACAAACTGGTGGTTGCCAGGGGTTAGTTGGGTGAGGGATGGGTGAAATAGGTGAAGGGGATTTAGAGCACACTTATCATGATGAGCACTGAGTAATGAATAGAATGGTTGGGTCACTATATTGTACACCTGAAATATAACACTTTATGTTAATTATACTGGAATTAAAAAAATAAAAATTTAAAAAAGAATAATGAATTGGAAAACAGATATTTTTTCAGTCAAAAAACCTGACATTAGATCCAGTTCAATACTTTAAAAACTAGATCGTTTAGGGGCACCTGGGTGGCTCAGTCGGTTGAGCTTCTGACTTCAGCTCAGGTCATGATCTCACAGTGTGTGAATCTGAGCCTCAGGTCAGGCCTGCTTCAGATTCAGTGTCCCCCACCCCCCTTCCCCATTCATGCATGCACTTGCTCTCTCTCTCTAAATAAAAACACATTTAAAAATATATTAAAAGATCAACAACATTTGAGAGTGATTCTTGCTACAATTTCTGTGCCTTTTCTGTTAAATTTACTCATCAGTATTTTACAGTCTTTATTGCTATTATAAACTTGTAATATTGTACATTTTTTCTTGTCTTATTACTTACACTACTATATTCAAGACAATGTTAAATAATAATGATGGTATTTATTGACAGATGAGCACATTTGTCCAGTTCCTGATTTTAGTTGAATCAGAAGTATTTCCTATTTATAATAATATTGTTTGTTGAGAAGTCAATATTTTTTTATTAATATCAGGTGGATCTGGGTGTTGGTATCTTGATACAGATTACATTAAATCTGTAGATTGTTTTAACAGTATTTGTTCTTCCAATCCATGAGCATGGAATTTTTTTTTCCATTTCTTTATGCCATCTTCAATTCTTTTCATCAGTGTTTTATACTTTTCAGAGTACAGATCTTTCACCTCTTTGATTAAGTTTATTCCTATATATCTTATTATTTCTGGTGCAGTTGTAAATGGGATTGTTTTCTTAATTTCTTTTTATGCTGCCATAAAAATGCAACAGATTCCTATACACTGATTTTGTATCCTATGACTTTACTGAATTCTTTTATCAGTTCTAGCTTTTTTGGTTGAGTCTTTCAGGTTTTTTTTTAATATATAATGTCATATCATCTGCAAATAGTGAAAAATTTTACTTCTTCCTTGCTGATTTGGATGCTTTTTATTTCTTTTTGTTGTTTGATTGCTGAGGCTAGGACTTCCGAGTATGATGTTGTATACAAGTGGTGAGAGTGGACATTCTTGTCTTGCTTCTGATCTTAAGGGAAAAGCTCTCATTATTTCCCCATTAAGGATGAGGTCAGCAGTGGGGTTTTCATAAATGGCCTTTATTATGTTGAGGTATGTTCCCTCTAAACCTACTTTGTCGAGGGTTTTTAAAAACATTTTTTTCTTTAGAGAGAGAGAGTGAGCATGAGCTGGGGAAAAGGGTGAGGTGGGGGGGAGAGAGGGAAAGAAGGAGAGGGGGGTGGGGGGAAGAGAGAGAATCTCAAGTAGGCTCCATGCTTAGCACAGAGCCTGATGTGGGGCTGCATCTCACAACTCTAGGATCATGACCTGAACCAAAATCAAGTGTTGGATGCTCAACCACCTGAGCCACCCAGGTGCCCCTTGTTGAGGATGTTTACTAAGAACTGATGTTGTACTTTGTCAAATGCTTCTTCTGCATCTATTGAAATGATGTTTCTTATTATTTCTCTTATTGATGTGATGTAGCACACTGATTCATTTGCAAATATTTAACCATACTTGTAACCCAGGAATAAACCACACTTGATTATAGGGACTAATTTTTT